CGCGGGAGTCGGGGAAGGAGCGTGGAGCCAGGGGGAAGGGCCGCAGGCGGGGCTCGCGGGCTGCGCTGTGACGGGACCCGGAACGCGCCGAGAGCCGCACCAGGAGGAGGCAGGTCGCCGGGCCGCGCGGGGCCTGCTGGGAAAGCGAGTTCTTGCGCTCCCAGAGAAGCAGGTCCGGAAGCCGCAGCCCGACTGATCCCGCCGCCCCAAACTTCCCGGGGTGAGGCGGACCTTTCCCTTGGGGTTTGGGCGGACCCTGGGCCTAACAGGCGAACGTCTCTGCAGGCTTCTCTCCACCACAGTCCCTCACTCCTTGGGTATATCCCGCCTTACTAGTTAGGAGGCGCGGTCTTCGTATTTGAAACAAATCTAACTATAAAATTTGCGCAGTCGTTTTTTTTTTTTTTATTTTTAAACTCCGTCTGCTATTATTTTTGTTTATTTTTATGTGGTGCTGAGGATCGAACTTCTGCCTCACATGGCTAGGTGAGCACTCTACCACTGAACCACAACCCCAGCCCCAGCCGTTGTTTTTTAAGCAAAAAATGTGAGCTATTTTTACCCAGACATCATAGCTATGAAACAGGGGAAGATTCTGTGGCAGGAAACGAACTATAACTTATTTTCCTCAAGAATTAACAGAAATGTGACAAATGAAAAACATTTTTAGCTCGAGACGTGCTTTGTAGCGGGAAAAGGAAATGATCCATGCCTGCTGCTGGTCCCCGAGGTGGTTAATCCCGTACCTCCCTCTGCAGGAAATAACTGATTTGTGCGGTGGAGGAGTTCTGAGCCTGGAGAACTATTCAGGAAGATAGGAGTGGACTGGAAATTTCGCCCACACAAATGAGTACATTAGTCAATCTTAGAAGGTGACCTTTTGCATGAGAGTCGGGAGGAAGGGCGTACTGTACCAGAGGAGCTTCAAGCAGTTGCAGCTACTAGAGATTTTAGGTCCAGTTTAAACTAAGAATTGCTCAGTTCAAGTAGATTAACTACAGTAACGATCAAAACCAGTTAAGAATCCAAATTTACAAGGTAACATGCTCTACTGCATAGAGCACTGAACCACATGTTCATATTGTAACAAACTTGACATTTTTCTATTTTGAAATTTACACATCTTTTGCAAATCAGAGATGCAGGTGCAAATTTGAATTAAAAGGAGCTTGCATGCTTCACTGTCAAACACAGATCTTTTCTATAGTTCCTTTTTTTCAAGGTATATATTATGGGAAGGTAAAGCAGATTTTCTTTCAATTCTTTCCATACAGGGTTGCTGAGTCACTTAAACTAATTTAGAAATCAGTTTCTAAATTTCATTAGATTCCAAATGTCATTTGGATTCAGTGTTTTCATATTTATTCCTGGGTGGTACATTTCTCTGCTTACATTCTAACCGAAAGCAGAGCCTCTGCTGTGTTTTGGGCTAGTCATTTTTTTTTTTTATATACAGAATACCTTTATCGAGCTTTCAGAAAAGTATTTTTGATTTGACAGTAAAAATTCCCCTCATTTTACAGATAGAGAAAACAATTTCTCACATAAACGTTGAAAAATCATTTAAATCAGTTATAAAACTCAAGACAGAGGAATTAGTTCATAGTCACCTAACTAAACATTCTCAAATGTCTCAATTATGAATTGGGGTTTTTCTGTAACATGACACATACTTAAAGGTTTTATTCAGAGTATATAAAGAACTCTCAAAACTCAAGCATGAGCCAAGCAGGGTGGTGCTCACCTGTATTCCCAGTTGCTTGGGAGGCTGAGGCAGGAGGATGAGGAGTTCAAAGCCAGCCTTAGCAAAAGTGAAGTGCTAAGCAACTCAGAGGGCCCCTGAGTTCATCCCAGGAAACAAAAAAAAAAAAAAAAAAACTCAAACATGAGAAAAGAAAAGCAACTGAAAAAGTAGGCAAAAGATTTAAACAAATACTTCACCAAAGAGGATATATAAGTGACAAGCACATAAAAATATACTTCACCTCATTAAATCATGAGAAAAATGCAAATTAAAACCACAATGAGATACATATATTTTAGAATAAGAAACTGACTATATAAGTATTGGTGAATATGAAATTTGCTGAAACAAATATAACTTTCATGCGTTGCTAATAGGAATGCAAATGGTTCAGACACTTTGAAAACGTTTATGGTGACTTTATTTGTAATCACCAAAACCTGAAAATGCATTAAGGAACATTCTTTCTTACTTTTACTCAACTAAGAATTGGTTTTGACTAGTCTATTAATGACTTTCAAGACTTCCCACTGATCTTACCTTCAAGGCTTAGAGAGAACTGATTATCAAAGGGAAACAGGTGCTAAAGGCAAGTGTTGGAAATTTCTTTGAAAACTGTTTTACCTTTTAAGAACTCATATAAAAAATTTTTTTTCTACTCTATGATAAATATATTGACATTTTTATATCTGTATCAGTGGTAGAGCGCCTGCTTTATGTGCATGAGGGCCTGGGTTCTATCTCAAGCACAGCCAAAGAAATTTTTAAAAAAGATCTTACTAATTCACTTTTTTATTTAAATCTTCCAGTAAATTGCTTCCCCAGGAAGATAATGTTGACATGGCTGTGCCTACTTCTACCCATCCTCTACAAATGAAAGGTCAAATACTCTCAAAGTTTGCTTAAGCTAGTTTGAAAAGCCTTAGTTGATATAGTACCTAAGAGACTATAGATTTTTTAAAATATTTTTTAGTTGTTGATGGATCTTTATTTTACTTATTTATTTATATGCAGTGCTGAGAATCAAACTCCAGTGCCTCACACATATGAGGCATGTGCTTTACCACTGAGCTGCAACCCAGCCCAAAACTATAGTTTTAATAGATCTGTATACACAATCATTCCCATAAGGGGATTTTTGTCAGTTTTATTTACTGCTATATCCCAGTCTCTAGAATAGGGACACAGCCATATGCTAAATAAACTAAGAATCTGTAGAATAAATGAAAAAGATCAAATAACAGCAAATGTTTGAATAAATATGCTTGGAAGGATGTAATAAAGTATGAATTAAAATAGATATTAACATATCCATGTTATGACTACTGAGGTAGCAAATTTTTTCTAAATTCTGCCAAGAAGGTTTGAATAAGCCCCAAATAATTGCACAGGCTTTGACAGATATTTTATCTTAAGAAAATAATTCAATAGAAGCAAAAAAAAAAGGAGAGAGAGATATGTTTGAATGTTTATAGTAGTGTTTTCCATTAGATCTCCCATCTGGAATGATTCACATTTTGATAGTAGTGTAAATGATTCATCAGCATGAAATAATAATTATATAAGCAGTAAAAAAAAAACAGTATAAAATTGAGAAGATGCCATTAAATGGCTATTATACTGCTGGGCCCCTCTAGATGATACATATATATGCATTTGTCTTAAGTAATATTCACAAATCCTATAATCATAACAACTCAGTGAAATAAGTATTATTATTTCCATTACTTTTTAAATTGGGTAAAATGAGTACCAAAAAACTATTGTCTAAAGGCATATCCAGAATCAAAACTGGAATTAGAACCCACCTCTCTCTCTATTACCTTAATATCTATGGGCACTCAACTAGAAACTACTATACATGTAGTATAGAGACAGGAAGATGTAGTACAAAGAATATTGGAACTGTATAATTACTATGATGTTGTTTATATAAGTAAAAAGTCAAAGTGATGCTATTCTAGAAAATTGTTTATGGAATGAACAAACTATTAACTATGCTTTACTATGAAGAAAGGAATAAGATGGGGTAAGGTAAGCTTTAGCTTTTTTAATTTTTTAATTTTTTATTTATTTTGTGTGTGTGTGTGTGTGTGTGCTGGGGATTGAACCCAGGGCCTTACACATGCTAACATGTGTAAAAAAAAAAAAAAGCCCCAGCTTTTAACTTTTCACCTTATGTATTTTTATGTATTTTTTTACTTTTTTAAAAAGCATGAATTCATGTTAATTTTTTTAATTTTAAAAAATGAATAGATGCTAAATTCCAAAAATATCTGAAAATCCTAGCAAGAAATAGCAAAGTATGGGATAAGCTCTAGTTTGGATCTTGAATGCTTTCTAAAGGCCTAATAGTAAAGGCTTGGTCCCCAGGGCAGCACTACTGAGAAGTGGTAAAGCCATTGAGAGGTAGGGCCTACAATGAGGTCATTATGTTTTGGGGGGGCATATACCTGAAGGGGATTGTGAAACTCCAGCCCCTTCCTTTTTCCCCTCCTTTCTACCTACTTCTAATGTAAGTGGTTTTTTTCTGCCAAGCACTTTCATCATGATATGCTGCCTCACCATAGGCCCAAAACAACAGTGCCAACTAATCTTGAATTGGAACTCTTAAAACTATGAACCAAAATAAACATTTTCTCTTTATAAGTTGATTATCTCAGGTATGTTTTATAGTAATGGAAAGAGAACTGACACAGCATATAAAACTTGCCCCAACACTGATAATGCTTTTAAAAATGTGGTATGGCAAAAATCATGAAATCAAATATTAAGTATTCAATCTGAAAACAAAACTCAGGCTTAGAACTTGTATAC